GCAGAGGAATCAGTGTGGTTAGAGGGTTGGGTTCCAGTGCCCATTCACCCCAGAAGTCTGTTGGGTTCTCTCTGCGCGGGCTGACCAGCTTTGTAGGGTGCTTGTGGGGTCCCTGGGCGGGCGGGGGGGGAGCTGTGTTTCTCTCAGAGCTCCTCTAAGGAGTGGTGGGGTGGGGGGGTGGGAGGGAGGAGGTGTGGCCGGGCCGGGCTGTTCCCCAGCCCCCTTGGGCAGCCGCTCTCTTTGTCCTGTGCCGGAGGCGTTCTCCTCATGGGTAGGGGAGCGGGCTGCGTGTGCTCTGTGGGACTTGGGCAGCCGGTTCTCCCTCTGGTCTGTGGGGCCTTGCTGTGCCTCAGTCAGTCTGCCGCTGTGTTTCCTCAGCTCGCTGGTCCTGGCTGCGGGTGGTGGCAAGCCCTCTTGGTGGGAGGAGACTTGTGCTTCACGGCAGTGTGGGCTGGCGGAGTTGGCAGCTTCCAGTGCCGGCGTGGAGCGCGTGCTGCGGTGGGAGTGCTGCGTGGCTGCTGGAGCGGGAATGAAGATGCTGGCTCTGGGTGTGTGACCCTGCTGACCAGGCAGGGTTGGACTTGCTGGCCCCTCGTCTGGGAGCTCTGCCTTCTCTCCATGTCGTTGCAGCCCCCCCCCCCCCAGCAAAGCAGGGCTGGTGGTGGCTTCTTGCTGTCGGGCACGGAAGGGAAAAGGCATCTTGCTGCCGTTGCATTGCGCCCCTCCCCCCGGCTAAGGTCTTGCATGGCTCTTCTGGGTTGAGGGGTGCATGGGTTCCGTACACCTGTCCAAATGCCAGATTGGGTTTGCAAAGCCTACTGAGCATTGATAACTTTCTGTGTTTCCCTCTGTCGCCGTGGAAAAGGAAGGGAAGGCAGGGGCCAAGGATTCCCTCGGGCGAGACAAGGCAAGGGCATTGTGGGGGGCTCTGGCTCCAGAAGGCACTGCTCACGCGTTTGCAGGGGCACAGATCCTCTTGATGAGAAGTGGCAGGGTTGTATGCCGGGCCTTGCACAGGGCTGCTTGGAGTTTCTGCTTTCTGGCCCTCAAGGACTAGTTTAGGGGATTCGTGGAGGTAGGTCCATCAGTGGCTACCAGCCATATTGACCGAAGGGAGCCCCTGAACAATCCCAGTGGTGGAGGCCTCTGTACCCTGCTCATTGGCTCTCCCAGGGAACTGGTTGGCCACCCCTGTGCAGGACAGGATAGGATGCTGGCCTTGATGGACAGCTGGCCTAATGCTCCAGCCAGGGCTCTTCTGGTGTTCAGGGCCATCACCCTGAGACAAGGAGCCCCTGCCTTCCTTCTGCAAACAGCAGCCCTTGTGGGAGGGCCTGGGGGCGCAGAAGGCGCACAGGAGGAGACAGGGCAGTAGGTAAAGCAATGCAGGGTGGGGAGGGAACTCTGGGAGCTCGCCTGGAATGGATCTATGCCCAGGAGGAGCTAGAGGAGGAGGGGGCTTTGGGTTCTGACTTGCGGCTCTCTCCAGCTGAAGAGCATTGATTTTACGGGAAGCCATATTTGCAGACAGTGCTCTGATCGACCTGCCGAGTTGACTTCTGCCTCCTTTCCCCTTAATGACTGGGTGAGCTCAAGATGAGATCGTGTTGGACGAATACATGGGAAGAGGAGTCTGTGCAGCCCCTTGAATGGAGGACTTGGAGACTAGGGTGGTGGTGGTGGTGGTGGTTGGTCCCCCTTTCTCACTGAGACCCCAGGTGGATTGGAGGTATGTTAAAAACGGATTATGAGATGGAAGCACATTGCAAGAGATGCTGACATTTGACTCTAAGAGCCAAGATTCCAAGCAAGACAAGAGTACAGCTGGGCTGGGGTTGTAGAACAAGGGAAGAACCAGATGAGTGCATGCGAGTGCATCTTTGAGGCAACAAGGCAATCTGTTGTGATGCACAGACAACTCTGACGGAGCTGGTTCCTGGGGTTTGTGCCTGCAGCCAGCCTGCAGATTTTGCATGAAATGGCGGTGGAGGCCCCAAGCGTCCCTGGACTGGGCCTTGGCCAGACTGGCCCAGCTCTTGGAAAGGGAGGTTAGGGGTGTGTGTGTGGGGGGGCTGACTGGGGGAGCCTTGCAAGCCGGCCAAGGGAGTGGAGCCGTCACTCTGGTTAACTGGTGGGGTGGGGGAAGGGCAGTCGGAGCAGCCGGGAGGCCAAAGAGCCCACCAATTAATTGGGAAGCATTTGCCGGCTTCTCTGGCCTGGCCTGGCCTGCAGAGGAGATTGGCTTTCCTGTCAATAAACAAGTCCCTGGTGCAGCATCAAAGCCGCAGTCCTTTATCAATCGCGGCCTCCTCTTCCCGCTTGTTCCTGTAACTTACCAAGCATTTATGACATTGATTTTACAATCAGGCTGTTAACCCTCCCGCCCCATCCGCCCTGCCAACCCTGCTGGCCCAAACTGTCAATCAGGCAGCGGGCAGCCAATCGGCGGCTCTGCCGGGAAGGCCGGCCGGTCTTCCCGGCTTTTGGTTGTAAGCGGCCAGTGGCATTTTTGACTGCCTCTTCCTTGCTGCAGAAGTTCTGCAAAAGTGGAACTCGAGTGTCAGAGGGTGGGCAAGGTCTCTAGTCCAGCGGCAGGACAGACAGGCCTGAAGAGAGGACTGAGGAGTCCTAAAGTTGTCGCGTGCAAACAGAACCGCACGAGGAGGAGCCAGGCTTCTTCCAGCCAAGGTGGCTGTTGGGCTGCTGTGGAGCAGTTGCTGCCGCCGCCTCCTCCTCAGCAGCAGCAGCAGCAGCGTGATCTGTGGAGGGCCGAGGCGCTGTTCTTCAGGCTGGGAAGCAGGTGTCAGATGGAGGCTTTGCCTCTCCTTGTGGGTTCCCTCCAGCTGAGGACTATGTGATTTTATATTTATTGACGTGTTTCAGTGTTTGTATCCTGCTTTTCTCTAAAACAGACCCAAAGCACCTTGCAAGAAAATGGCACACAAATAAACCAACCAACCAACCTATAGTAGAAAGCAAACAAGAGCAGGCCCGTTGTTGGGTTTTGATAGTGAGATATTGAAAAAAATTGTATTTAGCAGAGATAATATAGCTCAGCAGAGCCTGAGTAAAATAATTCAGACTGAGAGTCCATGTGTGATTAAAATATAAAGTTTTTACTAAATTCTAGCATGGGGAAGGGTAACTGGGATGAAAATAACAACAGAGCTAAATGGCTACATCCTTACTCTACAAAGACAAAACTAGAAGAGCGTTATGGCTTCTCTCCTTCTTCAGAACAGCAAACAAAGACGGGAAGAGGAGCCATAAAATGCTAAAACACTTTGACACTCTCGTTCCAATCAAACTCCTAGATCAGGGAGAAAATTCCCTGGCTTCTACTCCTAAAACAACATTGGTTACATGAGAAACATGTGACTTCCTGTGAGTAACATAAACAAACATTTAACCCCAGATATACTGAGTGTTTTCAACTTGTAATACCCAACACCCGTCCATCTCGGGCTGCTCCTGGGTACCTTGTCTGGCTTGGTGGAAGTCCTAGACTGTAAGCCGCAGACAGGCCGAGGGCCCTTTGCCCCCGGCTGCTTGGCTTGTGCCTCTGGCCACGCCTGGACTTTTGAAGGGGCCTGAAGAAGAAAGGGGGGAAGCCAGTCTGCAGCGGTGGGGTGGGGAGGGGGCGGGCTTGGGGAAGCCTCTGGGGACTGAGACCTCCTGGCCTGGGGCAACCTGCCGGCTCCCCTGAGCTCCCCTGTCTGCTCTGGCCTCAGCTCCTTGCAGCCCTCGCAAGCAGGAGGGCTGGCCTCCTCGGCCTTCCTGGGACTGGGGTCTCCTCCCCAGCGGGCTGCCCTGGGTGTCCTGGCCCCCTCTAACAGCGATAGGTGGAGGGAACAGGTCGGGCATCTTGCTAGCCCTTGCCAGAAGCTGCTCCGGGTCTTTCCGGGTGGCCACTGGCTGGTGCTTTGTGGGAGGGCGTGCTCAGAGACTGCGGCGGCGGCAGGGGGAACAGGAAGCCGTGGCCTAACGGGGGCTTCTGTAGCCCCGCCCTCTCCGTGGGGTGAGTAAGGAAAGGTGCTTGGCCAGGGCTGCCAGGCCAGGGTGCTCTTTGGAACCCACCTCCTCATGCCCAGACGCAGCCTGACAGGTGTTTATGAACACAGATCACACACACACACACCCCCTGGGATTTTGTCCCTCCAGCTCCCTGCTCTTGGCAGCCGTGGTGTGTCTGGTCCCTTTAAAGGGCAGGCGTGCCTGGAGGGGGGAGTGGAGTTGAGGGGCGGCTCTGGGCCCTGTCTTCCTTTCTGTCGTTCCGGGGGGTGGGGGGGGGAAGGGGGCTGGGGCGCAGCCTTCGTAAGGGCAGGACAGCCTGTCTCTTCCCATCATCAGCACGTTGCAGTTCCATCACTGAGGGAGCCAGTCGTGGTCAGGGAGTCGGACTGGGACTGGGGGGGGGGGCTTGATTCCAAGCCCTGCAGGGCCGGGAAGCCACGGCCCAGCCTGGAGCCAGGAACCTTTGCTCTGACTAGCCTCTCTCGCAAGAAGGTGCTCCGGACGAAGAGGAGGAAGGGGGAGCCGTGTCAGCCACCCCAGGCCATGGGAGGAAGGGGAGGATAAGAGTCCTCGTGGGTCTCCTCCGCTCCCCACCTGCCTTTCCTGTCCATTCTGCCTTGGGGGGAACAGGCATCTGCCCCCCGCGGTGGGTCCCGGGATGCCTTGGAGCCCCGCTCTCCACGGTTGCCAAGGTCTCGGGAGCAAGCTAGGAGGCGGTGGGCGGCTGGGGTGCTTTGGAGTGGGCCCTGCTGCGCTGCTGCTGCTGCTGCTGTGGGGTCCTTGTGCACTTCTGCCCTCTTTCCTCTGTCCCTGGCAGGCTTGGCAGTGGGCTGGAGCGGTGTGGAAAGTCGGCCTGTGCTTCCTCCTGACTGATCTGCCTCTCTCTCTCTCTCTCTCTCTCTCTCTCTCTCCCCCTTCCCCGCCCTGTGTCTGCCTTCAGGTCCGAGCCACACTGGGTGCAATGAACACTCCATGCGGGCCGCAACATGGAAGGCTGTGACTCGCCCGTCGTCTCGGGGAAGGACCATGGGCGTGCTCTCCCTCCGCACCAGCCCTGGACTGAACTCAGCAGCCAGCCGGGGACCATGGAGCCTCTCTCCGGGGCGGAGAGCTGCGGAGCCCTAGGCAGCCAGCAGGCTCCTTTCGGCGAGGGCCCCACAGACAGGGCTGCCACTGCCGCCGCCTCTGGCCCCAGCCCTGCGCCCGCTGGCAAGGAGGTCCACTGTAACGAATGCGCCGCCTCCTTCGCCACCTTGCAGACCTACATGGAGCACCACTGCCCAGGCGCCTCACGGGCACTTCTCCCGCTGCTGCCCGAGGAGAGCGGGAGTGACACTGGGGGGGAGGAGGAGGGGGAGGAGGAGGAGGAGGAGGAGAGTGACGTGGAGAACCTGGCGGGGGAGATTGTCTACCAGCCGGATGGCTCAGCGTACATTGTGGAAAGCCTCAGCCAGCTGGTCCAGAGCGGGGGGGTCTGCGGGGCTGGCAATGGGACCAGCAGCAGCAGCAGCAGCGGGGCTCTCCCCACCCTCTTCCTGAACTCTCTCCCCAGTGCAGGGGGCCAACCCGGCGAGCCCGCGTCTGCGGCACCCGTCTACCCACAGGTCATCAACACTTTCCACATAGCTTCGTCCTTTGGGAAGTGGTTTGAGGGCTCGGACCAGGCCTTCCCGAATACCTCAACCCTGGCAGGGGTCAGCCCTGTCCTGCACAGCTTCCGCGTTTTCGATGTGCGCCACAAAAGCAACAAGGATTACCTGAATCGCGATGGTTCTGCCAAAAGCTCCTGCGTATCCAAAGATGTTCCAAATAACGTGGACCTGTCCAAATTTGATGGCTTCGTGCTCTACGGGAAGCGGAAGCCCATCCTGATGTGTTTTTTGTGCAAGCTCTCCTTTGGGTATGTCCGCTCCTTTGTGACCCATGCCGTGCATGACCATCGGATGACTCTGAGCGAGGAGGAGCGGAAAATTCTTAGCAATAAGAACATCTCCGCTCTTATCCAGGGGATAGGCAAAGACAAAGAACCTCTCATCAGCTTTTTGGAACCAAAAAACAAAAACTTTCCACACCCTTCAGTTTCCACAGCTAACCTCATAGGCCCGGGACATAGTTTCTATGGCAAATTCAGTGGGATTCGAATGGAAGGGGAAGAGGGTAGCCAGGGGGGGGCTGCCAGTGGAGCCGAACAGCCCCCGTCCTGCCTCTTGGCCCCGGGGGCCCTTTTGAACCTTGGAGGGCTAACGAGCTCAGCTTTGAAGACCCCAATTACCTCAGTCCCCCCGGGCCCACCGGCTTCCGGTCCTACCCGATCCTCTGAGGCAAAGGACCCAGCTGGGGGAGCAGCCCAGCGCGAGAAGCAAGACCCGGCTGACCAGGACGGCCGCTTGGAGAAAGCGGAGGCAGCTGGGGAGGATGGAGTGGAGGAGGAGGAGGAAGGAGGGGAGGAGGAGGAGGAGGACGATGAGGAGGAGGAGGAGGAGGAGGGGTGCAAAGGGCTGTTCCTAAGTGAGCTGGAGGACGAGCTGGAGGAAGGACCTCCCCAGGAGCCTGGGGCCGCGGTGGGCGGCGGCGGCGGCAGCAGCAGCAAAAAGGACCTTGCTCTCTCAAACCAAAGCATTTCTCCCTTAATGCCTAACGTGCTCCCGAGCCTGTCCAGGGGCACGGCTTCCTCTAGTTCTAATTCTGCTTCTTCCTTTGTCTTTGACGGTGGAAACAGGAGGAATTGTTTAAGCTTTAACAGTGAGGGCAGTGAGGGCAGCAGGAGGCTGGACTTGAGTGACGAAAGTGCCCACAGAGACAGTGCCCATACCCTGCTGGAACCAAACGAGAGCGTGGAGGGTGAGGACGGGAGCTACGCCTCCCATCACCAGCATCCCGGGCCCCTCTGTGAGCTCGGGGGTGGGGAATGCCCCTCGGGGAGCGGGGTGGAGTGCCCCAAGTGCGACACAGTCTTGGGCTCCTCCCGCTCCCTGGGTGGCCACATGACCATGATGCACTCGCGGAACTCCTGTAAGACGCTCAAGTGTCCCAAGTGCAACTGGCACTACAAGTACCAGCAGACGCTTGAGGCTCACATGAAGGAGAAGCACCCAGAGCCGGGGGGCTCCTGTGCCTACTGCAAAAGCGGGCAGCCCCACCCGCGGCTGGCCCGGGGAGAGAGCTACACGTGTGGCTACAAGCCATTCCGGTGTGAGGTTTGTAACTACTCCACGACGACCAAAGGCAACCTCAGTATCCATATGCAGTCCGACAAGCATCTCAACAACATGCAGAACCTGCAGAATGGGGGTGGGGAGCAAGTGTTCAGCCACTCTGCCGGGGCAGCTGCCGCCGCCGCTGCCGCGGCTGCAGCTGCCGCGGCGGCGGCGGCAAACATGGGGAACAGCTGTGGGGCCCCCTCCCCCACCAAACCAAAAAGCAAGCCTACCTGGCGGTGTGAGGTGTGTGACTATGAGACCAACGTTGCCAGGAACCTTCGCATCCACATGACCAGTGAGAAGCATATGCACAACATGATGTTGCTGCAGCAGAACATGAGCCAGATGCAGCACAGCCGCCACCTGGGCCTGGGCAGCCTGCCCGCGGAGGCCGAGCTCTACCAGTACTACTTGGCGCAGAACATGGCCCTGCCCGCCCTGAAGATGGACAGTGCTGCTTCCGAGGCACCCTTCCTGATGGGCGGCTTCCAGCTGGACCCCACCCACCCGGGAGCCTCCCTGGCCCCCTCGTCTCTAGGTGAGCGGGTGGCGTGTTTTCGGGAGGGAGGGGGTCTGGTGTGGACTGGCCAGGAGGCGGCCCGAGCGTGGCTTTCCCGGGGGGGGGCACGTGTGTGTGTGTGCTGTGTGGCGGGCTGGGGGAGGCTGGAGCCACAGTGGCCTTCAGGGGCGTGACTGAGTCAGGCGGGGTTCCGCCTCCGCAGAGTCTGTGCAGACGCAGGCTCCCTCGGGACACACCACGGGCGGCGCTTTGACTCCCGCACTGGGGCTTCTAGCGGACCTGGGATCCATTTTGGAACCGGTAGGAAAGTGAGAATGGTCAGTTGCATGTTCCAGTACAGTCTTGTCTCCAGTCAGGCCAGGTGGACTGCGGCAGTTTCTCAGTGCCCAGCTGGCAGCTAGGAATGCTTAATTTTAATTCCATAGAGATCGGCCAAGATGGGCAGAGCCGTGTTAGTCGGTCTGTAGCAGCGAAAAAGGGCAGGAGTCCAGGGGCTCCGTAGAGACTGGCGACACTTGTGGCCGGGGAGGAGCTTTCGCAAGTCACTCCTCACGACTTTAGTCTCTGACGAGGTGAGCAGTGACTGACGAAAGCCGTGCCACAAATGTTGCTCGTTTTTAAGGGGCTCTTTAATTCCACGAGTAAGCTTAGCATTAGTGGTGTAGGTGATGTTCTGGTGTGGGCTTCAAGAAGTAGGTCCCACGGGGCGGGCGGGCTGGCTGGCTGTAAAAATCCCGCCGCAGAGGTGTGTGAGGGAGTTTTTAAAATCTCCTTACCAGTCGCCCAGCTCTTTGGGGTCCACGGAGGGAGAACCACGGAGGGAGTCCCGGGAAGCACAAAGTGGCTTCTTGGCAGAGGGGGGCGCCACTTGCCCATCCCCCCCACCTTTTTGGAATTTCTAAAATCCGGCCATGGACGTGTTGTTTCCAGCGAACAAGAGGTCTCTGGCTGCTTTCACGGCAGAGGAGGAGGTTGGCTTTTTCCCCATGGACCAAACCTTCCGTTTGGAACAGGAGCCTCTGCCTGCCTGCCTGCCTGCCTGTCTTGAGGCCTTTTTGTCCGAGGGAGCCTTCCGTGTGAAAGACTGAGCCCCTTTCCCAAAAGCTGCAGTTACAGTCCACAGTCCCCGGTCCCACCTGTTCTCCAGAAACGGCCCCGTTTGCTGGGGGTCTTGCAGCCACACGTGAGCACGCTGTGCTCAGGCAACGCAAGGCTTGTTGGGCCGGGGAGCCCAGCAGGGCCTTGTCATTCCCGCGAAGGCAGTTCAGAGGGTGGCCGCTGCTGTGCGCAGCGGGGCTGGTCTCGTCGGTCCCTTTTTGGGTGAAGGCCGGGGTGGCCGAGGAAGGCGCTGAGGGGGGGCCCCGGAGTGCAGAAGAGTGGCTTCTCTCAGCAGAGGGTCTGTGGTCAGCAGGCCAAGAGATCTTCCCGGTGCAGGATCCACTGAAGGAGGGATTTGCATGTGAAATAATATGATTATAATGGAGAGGTCTGTATTAATGTGATGATTTGTCTTGGAGGAGGAGGAGGAGGACTCATGGAAGAGAGAACCTTCCATGTAAGCGCCTCGGCGACCATTCGCTCCATGAATTCCCATTTTGTTCTTGCTCTCTTGTTTTTTGTCCTTTATAAAGTCCCTCTGTGAGGGCTGGCTGAAGTGAGGTGAGATTTGCTCGTGGCTAAAGAGAAGTCTGAATCAAGCGGTAGGCCATTGTGTTCCTTCCTCTGTGGAACAGGGTTGCTGTTTCTGTTCCGGCACCCTGACCCAAGTTCCGTGTGGCCTGGCTTGGCTGGCGTGTCTGAGCACAGCCCGTGTTGCCCGGCATGCCCCTCCTCACGTCTCTGGACTTCTCCCTTCTTTGAACCGTGGGGTAGGAGAGGCGATGGTGGCTCCACTCGTGCTGACCGTGGTTTGAGCTTCCAAAAGCACAACCAGCAAACTGTGGATTTGAGATGCTTGCCTTGCTCCTCTGCCCCCTTCTTTGTATTTATTCCTGTTCATTCAGATTTTTGTCCCCGGTGGGTCCTCAAAGTGGAAAGTTTGCTTAGAGTGGAGACGTTTCTGGAAATGTGAAAGCTGTAGGGGGAAGACTCTGTGCTTTCCAAGCTGTTGGTGAGGGTGATGGAAACTTTGGTGGGGGGCATTGCCGTGTCTGTCCTCTGCTTATTTCCTTATCAAACCGGAATGTTATTACTTGTGTTTGTTCTTAATTGTATTGTTTGATAAATATATGACATGTAAAAGTATTAATGCCTTATTTCTAATCAAAAATAGTTGAAATGCGTTACATTGCCAACATTTTGCTGTGGCTGATCCATAAATGTTTTTACATGCTGATATAAGGTGTGTATTTTAGGACTGTCCAGTTAACACCCTTCTGGGAACAAGCTGTCGAGAGGAGCGGCAGAGCTGTAGAGTAGTAAGAGACAGGAGAGTGAGTGGCCTTGTGAGGCTGCCTTGGCGGTTGTGTGGAAACAGACTCGTGGAGCTCGAGGGCCTGTGTCTCTGCAGAAGGGAAATCCAAGCCCTTCTTGACCTCAGGGATGTGGTGCCACAGAGGAGTCGGGAGTATTGCATCGGGAACAAAAGTAGCCTCAAAAGAGAGGATGAAAGAACACTCCGAAGAACAGATCCGTATCCACCTCTCTTCTTGTTCATCCCATATGGGCATGTGACATTTCTGGATAATGGGCAGCCTTATGTATCATTTTCTGTGATACAAATAAATGATGTTTTCACGAAGCTGAAGTGTTATAGAGCTGCAGGCCGCAGCACCTACGTTTTCTAAACATATTGTAGTTTTTGCCGAAACGGAAAAGAGGTGTAAAATAAAAGTTGAAAACAGAAACCGTCATTATAGTAAATGAAAGGAAGGTTTTATTACCTGGGCTTCGGATCAGAGTGTAGACCTCACTGTTACAGCTTTTGTTTCTTTCCGCGTGATGTTTTAGAGCACTCTGGGCAGGAGCTCTCCTGTCACTGGGGAGCAGCCATGCATTCGGGCCGTCCGCTAGTCTGCATGGCAGCAGGCAGCGATACCTTTTGGTGGACGCTGGTGTGACTCAGACTCGGTGGCTGAAAGAGCCACAGCTTCCGGTGCTGGAAATGGGAGGGGTGTGTGAATGGCAGCTCTTTCCCAGCACTCTTTCCTTTGCTCCCCTCCGTGGTAAAACCGGGGGCTGGTGTGTAGCAGGGGGCCTGGGTGGCAGGAGCCAACCGGCCTGTGGGGACAAAGGCTGAGGGTGGTCTTGCATTCTGCAGCATTTGAAAATACCTTCCCAAGATGCCTGAAGTGCGTTGCTCATTGAGGAACCTGTTTAAATTTGGCAGTGATCTTTGCTCCTGCAGTCTGTGACTAAGAGGTTTGCAGCAGCGTGAAGTTCTGGCCGCCTTACTCAACGTGCTTGATAAGAGCATATCTTTCTTTCCTTCCGAAAAGCGGAGGCTTCCCCCAAAAAGTCCCCTTGGGGCCTCCGGGTGAGAATGGGGGAGGGGGAGGGAGAAGTGGCCTGTTTCCAAAAGCATCCCCCTTTTGTTTCCTGACCTGTCGGGACTGGGGGGGCCCTTTGGTGTGGGAGGCTTCCCGGTGCCCTGCAGGTCACGGAGTGGAAGAGGAAAGGGAGAGAGTCTTTGGGGCGGGGCAGCCCTCCTTTTGTTTTCTGACGGCTTTTCTCCTTTCTCTGTGCAGTGGGTGGAGAGATCCCCCTGGACATGCGGCTTGGGGGTGGGCCGCTGGTGTCCGAGGAGCTCATGAACCTGGGGGAGACCTTCACGCAAACCAATGACCCGTCTTTGAAGCTTTTCCAGTGTGCTGTGTGCAACAAGTTCAGCACTGACACTTTGGACCTCCTGGGGCTCCACATGAACATAGAGCGCAGCCTGCCTGAGGAGGAGTGGAAGGCTGCGATGGGGGACTCGTACCAGTGCAAGTTGTGCCGCTACAATACTCAGCTCAAGGCTAACTTCCAGCTCCACTGCAAGACTGACAAACATGTGCAGAAGTTCCAGCTGGTGGCGCACATCAAGGAGGGGGGCAAGGCCAACGAGTGGAGGCTCAAGTGCGTGGCCATCGGGAATCCCGTGCATCTGAAGTGCAATGCTTGTGATTATTACACCAACAGCTTGGAAAAGCTGCGTCTTCACACAGTCAACTCCAGGCACGAGGCCAGTCTGAAACTCTACAAGGTAAGGCCCTGTTCCCCAGAAATCTGGGTAAGGGGGAGAATTGGTTGACCTGAACACTGATTGAACTTCATTTTTTTGACCGCTTTGCCAGGAGCTGCTTTTCTGGGGGGAACCCTGAGCATATTTATTTAGGGTGCCAGTGTGAGTCTGTCAGCAACAAATGCATTCCTGAGCCCCTGCCACTCACTCCCCAGGTTCTGCTCCCCCCTGCTGATAGACCAGGGTGGATGGCTTCACTTAAGCCTGTTCACTGGGGGGGAGGAGGAAGGGGGCTGATTTACCACCTCTGGGGCCATACTGTCGCCCACCAAACCAAAACGATGAGGAAAGATCAAGAAGGGGACAAGGGTAAATGTGTGCTCAAGTCGTGCTGTAGAGATGAGGTTTTTGAATGCTATGAACTCTGCCCTGGAAGAGCTGAACACGGAGACAACTAGAGGGGGCTTGGTTCTGGGCGAAGCCTGAGCACGGGATGGAGGCGTTCTCTCACCAGGTGGGAACAGGGGAAACAACACTGTTATGCTCAGCATTCGTGTGGATGGGGAGTGGCCTCCAACAAGGGAACTATTCCGAAGGAACCTGAAAAGAACAATCAATACAGTCAGATCCCCCCAGGATTCTTGGAAGTTATTTAAAACCACATTGAGTGAAGCCCCAGTAGACAGCCTGCCTCAGGTCAGGGGAGTGGTACCACCTAGCCTCGAGGATGCTGGGGTGGGTGCTGCTGACCCCAGGCCGGTGGGCCTCCTTCAGGAAAACAGAAGCCTTGCTGGAACAAAGTTAGCGGAAAAGTAGCACAGGGTGGGGGAGAGCCCATGCAAGTTGGCCGCAAGGTGAGCGGAAAAGGGGAATCTGAGGAGCAGGTTGCGAAGAGCAAGAAGCCAAACAGTGTAAGTGTCTCTGCAGATAGGTCAGGCGCAGAAGACTGGCCAGTGAACTAGTTGGGCCGCTGATGACGAAGGGATGAAAAAGGGCTCCCTAGGGAAGGGGGGGGGAGCTGGCAGAGAAACTCACTGGATTTCCTTGTGTCTGTTTTAACTGTGGGAAAATGTAAGGCATGAACCCACACAGGAACCTCTATTTTCAGGAGGGAGTTTGAATGCATTACCAATGTATTACCAATTTCTAAAAACTGTGCAGTGGAGATGCAAGAGGTAATAGGCCAGCTGACATAGTGCCTCTCCCAGATTAATTAGAAGAAACTGATTGTTAAAGAATTATTAATCATGTAGAGGAACAAAGCCTGTGGAGGGAAAAGGAAGTTTCCTGCAAAAGGAAGTCCTGCCTCAGCAAACGTTTGGGTTTTTTTTGAGGGGGTTAACAAGTTTGTGGGTGAGGGTCATCTGGTAGACGTTATAATCCTAGCCCTATTGCTCATTAGACATCTCCTCATATTGATTGCATTGACATACACTGTGCTTATTAGAGGCCTCTTTGTGTGGACAGTAATCTGCTTTGAGTCTCACTGGGAAGGGCAAGATATAAGTACAGTAAATAACAACAACAACAACAGCGACAGCAACAGACATGAAGCGTTTGACAAGGTCCTTTACCAAAGGTTCCTAAGTGTAGCAGTCCCCAGATAAGAGAACAGGCCGTCATTGTGTGGCTCCCCCATGTGTGAAGCAGGAGGGAGCAGAGAGGGGGGATCAGTGGACAGTCCTGGCCCTGGACGGAAGGGAGCAGGCAGCACGAGGGAGGGATCCGCTTTGGAACCAGGGCTGCTTCCTTGCTCATAAATGACCTGGAGCTGGGGAGGAGCCGCGCGTTGTCGTGGCCACGTTTGCAGGTGACAAAGTATTCAGGCTGGGGGACTGTGAGAAGCTCCAGGAGGATCTCTCTTAGTTGTATGAGTGAGCAACAACGTGGCAAATGAAATTCAACATGGGTGCGTCTAAGGTGGTGTGCGTTGGAATTAAAAGTCCTAAATTTAAATAAATGCTAATGGCGACTGAATTGACTGAGAGTGGGAGGGAAGGACCTTGGGGTTGTAGTGGATCATTCAGTGGAAATGTGAACTTGGTATGTGTAGTGTTGAAAAAGTCAAATTCTGTGTTGTGGATTATTAGGAAAGGGATTGCTCATTTCAGTTCAGTTTGATTTATTGCATATGACCAATGGCTGTTACAAATACAATATAATACAATACAAGTTATAAAATGCAGAATAGGATCTGCATTAAAACAGAAAGTAAAAATATATATGTCTGACATAAAACTGCTTAAAATAATACAAGATAAAAATTAGAACATACAAAATAAAAATAGGGTTTAGGGTAAGGTTACTAAATAGGACCTTAAATACCTTGATGTAGCCCTGGCTATTTAGCTGGAGAGGATTTAGTCAACTTGATGCGGATTTTCTTTGCCGCTAGGGCAAAGCATGCAACCGTGTACGAATAATCTGGCTCCACTTCTGAAATTAAAGTTAAAACTTTTCCAGATGTGGAGCAAGGGCCCAGTTTATCTAAGATTGTGCCAAGAAACTTCTTTCTCGGGAGTGAATAAAGTGGACAATCCAGGAGGTAATGGCACAGATCTTCAGGGACTGAGCCACCGCATAGACAAAGGCACTCAGTTGCTGGTGTTTTGGTATATCAGCCTTCAAGCACTGCTGTCTGCGTAGTTTGGAAGCGAAGGGATGTAAAGGCTGAACGCCAGTTAATGAAGGAGATTTTAGTCAGGCAATGTGCCCTGCGATAATCAGTTTATACCAAGGAGATGTTTTATTTCTTAGTATAACTTCTCTATCTAGACCAGCATCATGTGTGTGTATCTGCACCTCGCCATCAAAATCGGCCTGAAAGAGGAAAGGGATTGAAAAATTGCCAGTACTGGCTACTGGTCTGTGGTGTAGCCTCACGTGGAATGCCATTTGGTTGCCTTAGGTGAAGAACAAATACTGCTGCAGGGCTAGGAAAAAGTGCAGAAAAGGGCAACTGAGATGACGGGGTGGTTGGAGCACCTTTCTGAAAGGTGAGGACTTTTCCGTTTAGAACAAAAAAGATGATAGAAGTTTATAAAATTGAGCATGGGGTGGAGAAGGTGGCTAGAGATAATATTTTCTTCCTCTCCCATAATACCAGAACCCAAGGGCATCCAGTGAAGGCTTGTGGGCAAAAGATACAGGATGGACAAAAGAAAATAGTCTTCCCTCAGCAGTAATGAAATGGTGAAATTTAATGCCAGTCGCTATGGTGGAACACAGGTGGCGTTAAGAGGCAGGCAGAGAGGCCCAGCAGTGCCCGACCGGCCATGGTGACTGAAGGGAACTGAAGTCCCTCTGGAGGCAGCCAGTCTGGGAGGCAAGGCCAGGAAAAGAATTTGGCTTCTGTGCTGTGTTTGCTGGCCCTGCTGTGCGAAGGAGGGGGGCGAGCGAGGTGGCCCCCTGGTTGGATCCAGCATGCCCCCCCCCACAAGTTCTGATGCTTCTAGATGATGTGTGTCTGTGCTGCGGGAGGGAAGCCAATTCTTGGTGCGGTCAATGCCCAGTTGGTACGAAGGAGGAGACGCTGAGAAAGGAGGCATTGTCGGAGGTACAGACAATGCCCAAGAGACACCCTGGCAGTTACACTGATGGCACTAGAAGCCCACGTGACTGTCCAAAGCGGGTCCTTAAACACCCTTCCTGGTGGTGGGGCTCCATGAGGTCCTGTGGGAGTTCCTGAATGACAGATGTGCACCCTTAATGGCCACACAGTGGCTGGCTGGCTGGCTGGCTGGCTTTGTGCTCTCCGGGTTCCTCCTTCCTCATCTGGTGGCTTATGGCAAATCATAGTTCTCTATTACATCTGCTGCTTTGAATGTAGTTTGACTTCGGCTTTGAACAAACTCGCTTTGAGTGAATTGTAAAGAGTTTGCAGATTTCAGTGTTACGTGTCTCGTTCTCGCACACAGAACAGCCAGCGTGGCTATCAGTGACTGGCAGGTTTCCACCACACTTGTGAGAATTTGGGAAGGAGGTGGCCTTTGCTATAGGCACTAGATGCAGAGTGTCTAAAGGGCGCCGGGTGGACAGCATTCATGTAGAAAATAAGGGGGGAGGAACCCTTACTGTACTGCTCGGAAGAAGAGGAAACAATACAAGGAAAAATGGAATGCAGTAGAAAGCCCCAAAGGATGTCACTGGTGCAGTGGCGGGAAAGGAACTCCCCTTGAGCATGCATAGTGCGAGCAGCGGCATGTTGCTGGAGGGGGGAGGATTTTCACACCTGAACGGTAGCTCTCTGAGTTCCCAGAGTCACTGCTCTGCGCAGACGCAAAGTCTGTCAGTGTGAATGTACAGATGAGCAGTCCAGGAACAACAGTGTCAGGGAAGTGACCTGTTTTTGCCTGGTTTGGCGGTAAGAGCAAAGTATGGCTTGCCGCAGACCAGGAATGCGGGAAGGCAGGAGATGTGATGATGGACATGGGAAGGCTGGTGTCCTGGTGACCCTGACAGTGGCTGCAGGAGGTTTGGAGCCGCTCCCCGCTTTTGTTTTAAGCTGCTGCTTTTGAGGAGCAGGCAGGGGAGTGTGATGGAGAAGTCTGGCACCTGGTTTTATTATGGTTATTAGATCTTCCAAGGAAAGGGGGGGGTCCATTATATCATCTCTCACCCCCCCCCAAATCCTCTCAAAGTCCACGTGAGTTACATCAGGCTGGAAGAGAGTGACTGGCCTCTGGTGAGTGTGGATTTGAGCTTGAATCTCCCCATCCCTGGCCGCTCTCACCCTTCTCGGAAGGACGCCTCGTCCTGCTTGGCTCCTGCAGCTAAATCCGAGCCCCCCCCCCTCCTCCTGACTTCTGCTTTTCTCTCCCTCCCCCCCCCCCCCCCGCCCCCCATGCAGGCTGGAACTCGGGAAGCCCAGCGTACAGTAAATAGTCCTTTTCCTTGTGCAGCAGAATTGCTCCAGACGGTTCTATTGATTTTTTCACTGGACTTAAAGCTTCACCTTTTTCTCTAATCATCCCGTAATGGCTTTAGTATGAACAATCAGGTACAAATTGCCATAAATCTAA